ATGAAATTAAACTGAAAGAGTAATAGAGTCTCCTACAAAGAAGAGCACAGGAGCTGATGGATTTTCATCCAAATTTTACCAAATTTTTAAGGAAGAACTAACAATACTCCTGAAATATTTCCAGGAAATAGAAATGGAAGTAACACTATGAAACTCATTCTATGAAGCCAGCATTACAATCTTTCTGAAACCTAATAAAGTTGTAACAAGAAGAGAGATTTATAGACCAAAATATTTAAAGAATATAGATGCAAATATTCTCAAAAAATACTGGCAAACAGAATTAAACAACACAACAAAAAGATCATATGCCATGACCAAGTTGGTTTCATTTTAGGGATTTAAGGATGATTCAACATACATAAATTCATAGATGTAATACAGTACATAAAAAAATCACATGATCCTCTCAATAGACACAGAAAAGACCATTGACAAAACCAACACTCTTTCATGATAAAACTCTGAAGAAACTATGGGTGTAACAAACATTGCTCAGCATAATAAAGGCTACATGTTACAAACGTAGAGCCAACATCATACAAATAGAGAACTGAAACAGTTCCCCTTCAAGTCAGGAATGAGTCAAGGCTGTCTGCTTTCTCTACTACTGTTCAATATAGTTTTGAAAATCCTACCCAGGGCAATAAGACAGCAAGAAATAAGAGGGATTCAAATAGGTAATGAAGAAGTCAAACTATTCTTGTTTGCAGAAGACATGATCTTATACCTAACAGACCTGAAAATGTCTACAAAAAATTACTAGAAATCATAAACTTCCTGCAAAGTAGCAGGAAACAAAATTAACATATAGAAATCAGTAACATTTCTATATTGCAACAAATCACAGAAGAGAAAGATATCATTGAAACAATCCCATTTACAATAGCCTCAAAATCAATAAAGTACCTTGGCATAAATTGAAATACAGAAACAAAAGTACATTTTAATAAAAACTGCAAACCACTAAGGAGAAAAATCAAGGAAGAATTTACATTCAAAGGATGGAAAGTCCTTCCATTCTTGTGAATTGGTAGAATTAACATTGTAAATAATGGCCACATAAGCAAAAGCAATCTACATGTTCAATGCAATGCTTATCACAATTCCAGTGACATTCTGCACAGAAAAAATCAGTAAGTATATATGGAAACACAAAAGACCCTTAAAAGTCAAAGTTATTCTGAGGAAAATGTCCAATGTTGGAGGCATCAAAATTCCTGACCTCAAAGTGTACTACAGACCCTTAACAATACAAACAGCTTGATATTAGCTCAAAAAATAGGACGACCAATGGATCAGACTAGAAGATCTAGATTAAACCCACACATCTATAAACAAATGATTTTCAACAAAGCAGCCCAAAATTCACGATGGAGAAAAGACAACCTCTTCAACAAATACTTCTGGGAAAACTAGATATCCACATGCAGAAGATGGAAACTAGATCCCTCTCTTTCACCCTGTACCAAAATTAATTCCAAGTGAATCAAACACCTTAATATAAGGTCTGAAATTTTGAAACAACTCCAAGAAGCTGTAGGAAATACACTAGAATAGATAGACACAGGGAATGACTTCCTAATCAGAACTCAAAAGGATCAACATCTAAGACAAACTATGAAAAAAGGGGACTCCATGAAACTAAAGACCTTCTGCATAGAAAAGCAAACAATCACCAGACTCAAGAGACTGCCACAGAATGGGAGAAAAATCTTTGTCAACTACTCATCTGATAAGCCTCTAATATCCAGAAATATAGGAAGCTCAAAAAAGTCAGCTCCCACAGAATCAGCACCTCATTGAAGAAATGGACACATGAATTAAACCGGGAATTCTCAAAGGAATAGTTACAAATGGCCAGTAAATACATGAAAAAGTGTTCAACTCCCCTACTTACTAAAGAGATGCACACCAAAAAAACCACTTAGATTTCATTCAGCCCTGTGAGCATGGCCAGAATCAAGGGTAATAACAACAAATGTTGAGTAGGATGTGGCAAATCAGGAGCCCTTAAACACTGCTGGTGAGAATTAAACTTAGTAGAGCCACTATGGAAAACCTTGTGGAGAGTCCTCGAGAAACTAGACACAAAACTTCCATATGATCTGTTGATACTGCTCCTGTGCATTAACCCAAATGATTGTGAGGTGGACAGAGCAGAGACACCTGTACACCGATGTTCATTGCAACACTTTTGACAAAAGCTAAGCTCTGGAAACAGCCTAGATCCCCTACAACAGAAGGACTGATGAATTGCTCATGAAATTGTTTATATATATTATATATGTATAATATATGTTATATTATACATATGTACATATAATTATATATGTATAATATATATATATATATAATTATATATATACATGGCTCTTACTCAACCATGAGGAATAATGACATAGGGGTTGAAGGTAAATATATGCAATTGGAGGACTGCATGTTAAGTGAAGTAAGCCAGGATGAGAAAAGCAATATTCACATTCTTTCTCTCATATGTGGAATATAGATCCAAAGATAAACATATACATAAAAGCAACCATGACCATATAAAAACACAGATGTACAACATCTGTGTAACTGCTCTATGGAACTCGGGGAAAGAGCAAAGGAAAAGAGAGTGATATTGCATCCGTAATATGTCATACCACAAGATGTGAAGGTAGAGGGTGTATTGAAAGCTGTTAAAAATTGGGTTGGTGTAAGGAAGAGAATTTTACGGGATTGAACAGACCAAAGTAAAGTGCAACACAGTGGGCATACATTGAGATACACTTATGAAACCAGGACTGTAAAATAGACACATTGCGGGGGGATGGTGCTAGTAAAGAAAGAGATTAAGGTAAAAGTATATTGTTGATGGACTTCATATACATATATGAAACACAAGTATAAAACCTCTTGCAATTATTCTAAGTGAGATGAGGAGGGTGTTGAAAGAGAGTGATGTTGGGGAGAATGTAAATAATATACAGTAAAAGACTAATTGAAATTGTCACTTTGAATACACTCCCCCATGTATAATGAATATATCCTAATGAAAATTTAGGAAAAATAGTAATAAAAATACAATTTGCATGCAAGTATCTGTTGAAAATCCTGTGTTCCCCCTTTGAATAGAAAGACAAATCAAAGGTAATGGGGTCATCCTAATTGATGAAAACTGTGCTGAGACTGGAAAATCAGGTTGATGAGAGAATTTCCAATGCCCTTAGGTTTAATCATGCTCTCACGAAGATTACAAATATATCAAAAAAGGGAAAGTATTAAGCATGCATTTAAACAAACATAACTTTTGGGACGAGCTCCTGTGCTATGCCTCTGTATAAGCAAGCAAAAGAAAACACTTGGTGATTTGTAGATGTTTACCTGGTTTAGGATGAACAGACTTGCACATAGAGTAACATACAGTTTTGGATCACTTACAAAAGAGATTCAAATAACCTATCAACTAATTCATTCCTAAGTTCACCTATTTAAACTTTAATGGTGTAGATGATCCCAAAACAGGTTAGTTTTCCTTGAAACAAGAGATTGTATTATCACTGAAATGGAGTGTATTGAAGCCCCCTCTGGTTTATCTTTCTTTACAAATAAAGTGCCATGAGGTTTTACCCTTCTGCTCTCCCCTCCCTTTCGTTCCTGCTTCCTTGTGTCCACTTTAAAACATCTACTGTTCTACAGTTACCCAGTGTTCAACACAACTCCATTTTGTAAAAAGGATGTGCCTCTATTTGTGGGTGAGGAATACAAGCCTTTCAGCTCAGTAACTGAAGATACTGTCATTTTCTAACTTGCTTTATTTATGTTGCTTGGCTTATTCCATTATCTGAAGTAGTGAAGAAAATATGATAATTTCCAACTTCTCCAGTCTAGCCTATGTTGCAGTGTATGAAAAGTAATATTTATCTCAACTGCCTGCATTTTCAAAAAGCAGGCAAATTGTCAAACAATTCTCTTTAATATATTGATTGAAGAAATACCAATCAGCACAATAAATGAATATGTACTACAAACAACAAGATTAAAATCACAAGCATTCCTACCTAGTAAAATGCACAAACCATAGTACATATTTTATGACACCATTATTGCACATTATAGAACAATATAACCAATTAAATTGTCACAAAGAAGATCAGGAGTTATTGAGGGACAGGGTGGAAAAAATGAATTTGTAGAAAGGAGCAAGAACATAAAAGCAAGAGGAAATTCTGAGGGTAATTGATGTTCCATGACTTGGTAATAGTGATGGTTTGCTGGACCATTATCATATTGTATATATCTTCATATGCAAGATAATATGCATATTATCATTCATTATACCTATTCCAATAATTAGCAGTATGGTTTGGTAGGTAAGGAGTGAGAGATAATAACACAAAAATAGAAGAGACTCTGAGTGGATGCTTGACAGAATCTCCATTCGTGATCTATGTTTAGGGAAACAAGGATGAATGAAAACCAAGTCATGTTCTCTACAGAGGAAGAGTTGTGGACAGTATCACTAAGCATGTCCATCTCTGCCCTGGATTTGGTGCAGGGGTACCTGAGAATTATGGGAAGGATTACAGGTCCAAATGGTCGACTTTTTGTCAGATAAGCGCTCTTAGCAATATTACCAAGCCCTTCTCTTCTTCTGTTTATAACTGTAAAATGTAAGATGAGAAGAAAATGATTGATTTATGTCCATATAAGCATTGAGATAAAATAATGTGCATTCCATAATTATCACATACAAAAACGAGATAAAGATTATGCTTCCCTAATTGTTATCAATTAATACTAATTTCATTCAGCACACGACATTAGCCATGAACAGTGGCTTCTCTTTGACATACCACCACAGAGCCTGCTATATAGTAAGAAGACATGCAAATAAGAATTCGTTCTGTCCATGTAAACCAGCCCTGCCCTGACCCTGCAGCTCTGGAAAAAGAGCCAAGCCCTGGATTCTCAGCTGCTCCCATTCAGTGATCAACACTGAACATAGACCACTCACCATGGAGTTGTGGTTGATCTGGGTTTTCCTACTTGTTATTTTAAAAGGTGATTTGTGGAGAACAAGAGATACTGAGTGGAAATGGATGAGAGGAATAGTCGATGTATGTGCCAGTTTCCTTACTAGGATTCTCTGTGTTTTCAGGTGTCCAGTGTAAGGTGAAGCAGGTGGAGTCTGGGGGAGGCTTGGTGCAGCCTGGAGGAGCTCTGAAACTCTCGTGTGCAGCCTCTGGATTCACCTTCAGTGATTTCTACATGGACTGGGTCCATCAGGCTCCAGGAAAGGGGCTGGAGTGTGTTGCTCGCATTAGAAACAAAGCTAATAGTCACACCACAGAATACAATGCATCTGTGAAAGGCAGATACACCATCTCCAGAGATGATGACAAGAACATGCTGTATCTGCAAATGAACAGCCTGAGAGATGAAGACACAGCCATGTATTACTGTGTAACAGACACAGTGAGGAGACTTCATTGTGAGCCCTGACACAAACCTCTCCTCAGTGATGCACAGAACCAGCAGGGGGTGCTTAGCACACATGGCGCTCTACTTCAGCCTCAGGAGCAGGTGCAGACATGAGTCAAGTGCTGTTCTCCAGTGTGTCTAGGCAGCCTGGTTGTCCATAGTTTTCACAGGGCCTTCCCTTGATCTATCGTGTATTGTATGTGAGATGTCTCTGAGTATAAAACATTTTTATTTTTGCTGATATTTAAAAATTTGGGGATGAACATTTTGAAGGAACACTGGATGCATGTATGGAGTAAGGACAATGATAACCCCTCATATTTTTAATGCATGTCAATTCTAAACAAACATTTAAAGCAAAATATTAGAGATATCCTCACATATCACATGTCACATGTCATCTGGATGAGATCTTAGGATGCAAGAGATACTGGTGACTCTTTTCCCAAGAGACTATGGGTTTCAGTGAGATCACTGGTTAGTACAGAGTGGAGATTCATTTTGCAAACAACAGACTGGAACACTGATACACTGCACAAAACAGGTCTCAAATCTTTCCCTCTTCCTTCTGTAGAATTTCTCTTCTTATCAGGCTCAGAATTCAATTGTTTTGCTTCCACTGATTCATTTTCTGACTTAAGAACTCTCATTCTTCCATCTCCCATTTCTATTTTTTCAAACAGAAAGTACAGTTTTGACATTTGTGTTCTAAATCCCAGAGCTCAATTTTGTACCTGGAGCTCAGATGTGGATCAAGCTCTGGCTCCAGAGGACTGAGGAAAGGCAGTTCTGGTTCTTTAGTACACATTATCCATGGACATTCTGCTATTCTCTGTGCAAGAATGCTTGTTGGACATGTGGGTGGACATTAGCAATTGGAGGTAAGACTGACCAAGGTACATCATATGTGCTCATGGAGCTGACTTTGTTCTGTCTTGTCTATCATGGAGTTACCTCACGCCCCTGTGCTTTTGGGGATATCTGGAGATGGGACACCACACTGTGATGCAATCTCTTATGACAGCATATAATTCTTTTGTGAGCTGTGTCCTGTGGCTCCACTGTGATTACTCTTCTTGAATTAGAGAAGCAACAGGAAGATTGGACTGTGAGACCCTGTGGTGGGGAAAAAACTCCAGAGGCTGAGAGGAAATGGCACATCCTACAAACTATACTGATCCACAAAAGAGGGAACTGAGCTGAGTCCTAGCCTGGAATTTTGTGCAGAAGGAACCCAGGATGTGTCTCTGTTGTATCTGAATACAGAAATAGTTGGCCATGCCAGGATGGTTGATATGTCACATGTCATTTTGAGGAGAACAATGCTGTTAGAGCTATCATTGCAGAAGGTGGAGGACAATGCTGTTAGAGCTATCATTGCAGAAGGTAGTCTGGCTTTTAAGGGCTGGGTTGCAGTAATTACCATAGCTCACCAAATGTATGCTATCTATTCTATGATCATCATTGGTAGTTGACACTCACTCCTGTTAGGATGGTTACCAAAAAAGTACAATTACTGGACAAGATATGGAGAAAGGGCAGGACTTGTCCTGGTGTGGATGAACACTGACATGGTTCAAAACATTATTTGCTGTAGCCAGGAACTGTACATAAATGTCCATCAGAAGAATAGATGAAGAAGAAACCAGGGAAGTTGGTCAGAGTGGAATACTATTTACTCATAGAAAGATGGAAACACTGTCACATGTGACTCCATGGTTGGACATGGAGAACCTCAGGTTAAGAGAAATGAGCCAGGGACAGAAAGACAAGTACCATATAGAAGAATCTAAATAAAGTTGATTGCATAGAAGCACAGTGTAGAATAATGATTACCAGGGAGAAGGAGAGAGAAAAGGATAGGGAGAGGCTGGACAATGGCTACAAATTAGTAAGCACACAGGAGGAGAAAGTTAAGGTGTTGATAGTGTGGTGATAGTTAACAACAATGTACTGTGTTTGCCAAGAGTATAGGAGTGGTGTTGAATGGACCCATCTGTAAAAGATAAACTAAAATGTGATTGGTGGGTAATTGCTCAGACTTGATCATTCCAGGACATACAGATGTACTGGATCATCACTCTGTGCCCCACTGATGTGGAACATAATTTGAAATTGATATGTGTAAATAAAATGTAAACTTTTAACTCTCACAGATCTGTGAAAATCACTTTTCATTTCCCATAATTGGTAGGTGTGTATTATTTGGAAATCTTCAATCATTCTTGGATTCTTTATCATGAGTTCAAGACCCAAATATTCACTTTCTTGACTTTTACTTCTTGGTTTGTTGTAAAAATAAATGATAATAATCCTTCCCAAAAGGACCAAAAGAAGTTTTCCCTGGTTTGATCTCCAATATACCATTATTAAAGAGAGGAAAACAAGACTCTGTGAAGAGGCGGTGATAAAGCATCCTCAATCTGTTGGTGAAGAGTGTGCACAGTGCATGAAACCGTACCTGTATATCCTTCCATATCTGAGTGTCACAGATGTTGGACCTAAAATCTCTGTACTTCTTGTCCTCACACTCACCAACCACAGTGTGATTTGTGTGTCCTGGAGTAGGTGAACTCTTCACAGTAAGTGGTGAGTGAAAATCATGGGAAAAAGGACCCTCCTTTGTTCATCCTTTGGAAGGACTGGTCTCCTTCCTGAAGAATTGCATCAGAACATCAAGAAAATGGAGAGAATACAGAGATAAATGGACGTCCCGTGTGGTGTGGTGGTTGAAGATGGTTAACCTAAGGATTTCTAGGATCCCTAGAGTCTTTGGTTATTGCAAGTCATACAATAAATACTGTATCTACCATTGACTGGTAACAGTGGGAAGCCAGGTCACAGGGAACTTTGTTCTCCCTCTTCTATACTCACATGCAGGGTAAATCCTGCATGCAAATCCCAGTTATGTTACCAGAAGAAGCTGCACATTTACATAAATTGAGACTTTCCTACACCCTGGAAATAGTTTTTGGCAGTTATGGAAGTCACCCCCCAAAACATGAAACACTTATATGTCTTTGTTTTCCTGCTGGTGGCTACCAAAGTGACTGTCTCCATGATTAAGGCTGGATGACATGCAGATGCTACTTGTGAACTCATGACTAGCTGTGTTTTTGTGTCCTCAGGTGTCCTGTCCCAGTGCAGCTGCAGGAGACTGGACCTGGCCCAGTGCACCCCACATAGACCATGTCCCTATCCTGTGCTGCCTCTGCTTCCTCCACCAGCAGAGGCTATTGGTTGTATTGGAACCACCAGCTTCCAAGGAAATAGTTGGAATGGATAGTGCAAATCTATATAGATGGAGACGTGATATATGTACTGTCCCTCATGAGTTGAGTCACCATGACAGTGGATAAAACCATGAATCAGTTCTCCATAAGCCAGGACTCTGTGAACTCCAACGACATGGCTGTGTATTCCTGTGTAAGGCATGCAATGAGAGGAGTTCAGCATGGCTCTCGTAACAAACATCACTGCAAAGAACATGAATCCTGTGCTACAGGAGGCACTCAAGGCTCATAAAACATGGGGTCTCATCCTAGAAGCAGGTGAAGGATGGAAGGGCCAGGTACTTCCTATTGTCTTCAGAGGTTATCTCTTATATCCAAAATCTCATTTCACAAGAGTTGTATCTGTTCTATCACATTCTCACTCTGGCAGCAAAGTAGCAAGTTAACTTTCTCTGTTTATGGATGTACTGGGCACAGAATCTAGGAACACAATTCAGCAACTCCAAATTGCTTTTCTTCCTTGACAAACAAAATACTCCATGGATTCTCATCATCCCTAGACTGATGTGTTCCTTAAAAAAACATGAAGAATTATATGTGACAATGTAGCCTAATAGGGACCTAGTTTATGTTCATTGTGGAACTATAGGCTGGGATCCAACACAGAGATCTATGAGAATTCCAGATAGGAAGAAAGAAAGAAGGTCACCATTTGATTATTATCTAACCAGGAGGAAACACTAGGAACCAAGTACACTGACACACTTATCTTTGAATTCCAGCCAACAGAAATGTGAATGAATAATTCTGCTGTTAAGATACCCAAGCTATTGTGTGTTGAATTCTGACAGTCTGAGCTGTTATATGCTGTCTGGAATGATTTTACAGATCAGGAACAGCATAACTACGTCTGCCATATATCTCAGATAGGTAAACACCTGTACTAGGTGGGCTTCCTTATGCCTCTCCACTTCTGTCCTTCAGGTCCCTGTGTCTTTCAGTTGTTGTGCCACTTGCTGTACATGCACACTGGGGTCCTTGATGGTCAGTGTTTCCTTTTCCCCATTCATTCTTCAAGTCCATGGATGAAAGACTCCAGGTGCACTGAGAGCACAGGTTCCAAAATCTCCATGAGGGAGGAAGGAGGACACACAGAGATGAAACCCCTGGCATTCCTAGTGGCAATTGTTCAGGGAGGGGATCTGAGTGCAGTCCTGGGGACTGTGTGCTAAGATGAGTCCCTCAGCTTCCACACGGAGAATCCATATTGATAGGGATAAATGAGAATGAGATGGATGAAGGCCAGCATGTGCCTATTCTTCCCTGTCCTGAGTACACCAAAGAACTTCACTCCATCATCTCAATCACATTCCAACAACTGAATTCAGACAAAATCTGTCCTTAGACCCTGAGCTCCATTGGACCAGAGCTCTGCTGCCTTTCACCATTTATCTCATCTTAGGCAATGAAGATGACCCAGAAAACCCAGCCATCATGACACCAAACCCACTCATTTTGTAAGATCCATCTCATGTGTCCATCTGTCCATGATCTCCCTGTGGATGTGATTCACACCCTGCAGAGCATGTATGTCATGCACACATAAAGTTCCTGGTCACTCAAGGCAGTGACTGCATTTATTCCTAATCATGAGCTACAATTATGCTTAGGTGTAATAAGGGACAATATTGAATTTCCTTGTAACACTATGGTCAATCTTGATAATTTGATTTTTTTATATTTATTAGGTAAGTTGAAATATTTTTATAAGTATACCTTGTTAGCTAA